TTAGATGAAATAGATATCATGCATTCCATAAAAATAACATTGTCATATCACATATTCCATAAGGACATGTCAAACATTATCAAGTAAATAAATACTACCAAAAATTTTAAACAACAAAAGGTCAATGTTTTCCATCTATTCAAATTAACTATATCCCTTTTAAAGTATACTTATTATATTACAAATAGGCCATGGCCGTTATATCCTTTCTAAGATTTGACTATATGCCTCAAATCAAAATTACCATAATCTTAAATACCTTGATCACAAAGAAACAAGAGGAATCCAACGAGTGGGGCGTACCACCCCTTTGTGACACATGTGGGCCCCCACCAACATGCCACATGGTGGGCTCATGTACACTTTGGGCCCCTATGAAATTTTATAAAAAAAAATTTAAATTAAATAAAACGAATTAATATATATTTGAATTTTTATAACTTTGTAAAATCAATAACTGTATTTTTATAAGTCCAAAAATCATAATTAAAATATTGAGAGATTTATAAAAATTTAAATAATAACCATTTCAATAATAAAATGAACACAATTAAATTAATATGATGGAAAAATGATCCATATGATTTTAGGAATTCAATCTGTAACAATGAAGTACTCCACCTTCAACTGTGGACTACAGACCACACTAGCTTTATCCACAGTCCAAGTAGGGGCTCATTAGGAGGTCACAAAAGTTAGGTCGATGTGTCAAGGGGTTGCAATCCCAATCTATGGATTATAGGTTCTTCCATAGAGACAAGTCAAGGTCACCACGACTTGATGCGACTATAGCTCTATGGTGTATAGGGATATCTCTCGTACATGCATGCGCTTCACCCATAGGTAGATATCTGGCTTTCGTGAACGATCTATCAATACGCATGTCGTGTGATGGAACATGAATGGGGTTTTCGCCCCCGTCTCAGTAGGCCTACCATCACACACACAGAGTCCCTCGGCTCTCTCATCTAGGCATAAGCTCTGACCTCATAAAGAGCTAACCCAAAACCCTCATCGGTTAGTTCTTTATGCCTAGGTACCTTGGGTTTTGCAACCGACTGGCTTAGATCGATAAGCACAGTCCAGTATAAGCAAACATCTTTCGCGTAGTATGGTCCTCGAGGGACCACACTCCCATTGAGTTTATGTTTCATTATAATAAAAGTATTTCAATACATACTCATAAGGCCTTTAATGGCCACATAAACCTAACATATAGATATATTTTATTTGAACCATTTTTTTAGTGTAAAAATTTTTAATTAGAGAAGAAAATAGATTTTCAACCATCCTAAGAATTTTTGACACCAAAATAACATGTTATGATAAAATTTGGAGGTGCGCCTAGAAAGAAAATATAAGAATATGATGGGTTACGGGTTTAGGCTAAAAAAATAGAGCAATTTTGTTGAACAAAAATTGCCCAAATTTAAAATAGATAACAAAAAAAGAACTACGTTTTGATCTCAAATGGGCTAAAAGGAGCTCGATTATTTTTAAAATTGATCAGAATCGAAGTTAAAAATACATAAATTTACGCTAATATTCCTTATAATTGGTGTTAATAAAGAAATCTATTTTTTTATATTTTATGCGTATATACCCTTTTTTTTCTCTTTTTTCTTTTATTCCCAAATAGCCACTACTCTGAGCTGGCAAAATTTATTTTAGGTGTATGAATCTTGAAGATTCAAAGTTAGACCTCCACATGTAATTTTATCCTCTATTTTTTATTAAAAAAATTATCACCACTTCGAATCTTTAAGTTCTAAAGCTAGTATTGAATGTTTAAAATCACATTTGACTTTGTATATGGGATTTGACTTCGGATATTTAAGATCCCAAATCAAATGTGACTTTAGATCTTAAAAATATAAAGTGAATACAAAAAAAAAAGAAGATGAAAAGGGCATGTGGGAGGGGTCACTTTGGATCCTCAAGTTCCAATCTTAAAATGTGCTTTTTTTCTCTTCAAACTTTAAAGATATAAAGTGGTGGCAATTTGAGAAAAGAAATTAAAAAATAATATACACATAAAAAAAAAAATTGAGGGAAAAAACTTTGATAATGCTTATTTTTTAATATATTAGCTCAAAATTCTCTTAAATTAGAAGGGAACTGATCAGTCATCTAGAACAAAAACCTGCAAAGTCTTTTTAAATATTTGATGTACAAAAAATGGGTAAGGACTAGCCTGAGTAATAACTAGCTCCGTAAGGCTCAATTCCATTCCACGTCACACCCAAATGCACTATATTTTGAGTGCATGAACTATGCTCCTATAAGAGCATATTGTATACTTACTCCCTTAGCCACAACACATATTTCAGAGAATTTTGTTAATTTGAAATTTTGATAACCACATAAAAATCACTATATGATTATTTTCAAAACAAAAAAAAGAATTAATTTTCAAATTTGCAACACTTAGATATCACCTTTTGAAAATTGGATGATTTTTATTCAATCTCAACATATATTTTTTCAAGTGCATTGAGAGTGCAATTTAGAACTTCTTTTTATTGAGGTTAATCTATATGTTGAAGATATTATATCCCAAAATTTTGTGGTCTTAAAATTACTCCTATATCAGTTTATACTCAAAGAGTAAATGGATAATATTCCTGAAATTTTGTGGGAGAGAGTGATTAAGCAACGACTAAGGCATGAAACGAGTATTTCAAAAAACCAATTCGTTTTATGCCATTGAGGTCAACAATTGAGGCTATTTTTCTACTTACGTAACTGATTGAGAAGTTTAGAGTGAAAGAAAAAGACATCCGGCCTTTATTGATCTAGTGAAAACTTATGATAAAATACCTTGAGATTTAATTTGGTGGATATTGAAATAGAAATGAATCTCCATAAATTATATGTACTTAGTGAGAGATATGTACAAGGGAGCGTTATTTAGTGTGTGAACAATTAACGGATAGAGGAGTGAGTTTTCAATTACAATCGGTTTACATCAGGGGTCAACATTGAGCACATACCTCTTTGTTTTAGTTATAGACGACTTAACGAGACTCCCACAAAATGATGTACCATGGTTCATGTTATTCACATAGAATATAACTTTAATTGATTAGACCCAAAATGGTGTCAACATAAAATTAAAACTTTGGAGAGATGCTCTAGAATATAAAGGTTTTAAAAGTAGCAAGTCTAAAGTTAAGCATATGAAATGCAAGTTTAGTAATAATAGGAGTGGAGAGGAGAAAGTAGTTAGGATTGATGACTAAAAAATACAAAAAAGAGCGCCTTTACGATATCTTGTATCTATAAACCAGGAAATAAAGAGATTAAGGAATATGCTACACATAGAATTAGAGTTGGTTGGGTAAAGTGGAAATGTGCAACTAGAGTTTTAGGTGATTACTGCATACCAATGAAGCTGAATGGAAAGTTCTATAGGCCAGCTTAAAAGCCAACTTTACTTTTTGGTGCGGAATGTTGGGCAGTCAAGAAACAACATATCTATAGAATGAGTATAACTAAGGTGATGATGTTGAGATAGATGATTGAAAATACATGAAGGGATAGAATTTGAAATGAATACACTTGAGAGAATTTATGTGTGGCACCAACATGCGATAAGATGAGAGAAATCGGACTTAGGAAGGCTGACGTAGACCCAATACAACATATGTTAGAAGTTGTGAGCTAGTTCAAGTGGAAGGCTAGAAAAGTGCAAGAGATAGGCCGAAAAATAATGGTTGTTTTATTTAGAAAATAATCCTATACCTTGGTTCACAATCCTTATCATTTGCTAATTGGTTCTTGTATTTAGTAGTGTTATTGTTGTTTCATTTTATACTCCCAATAAATCTATGATATATTTTGTATTGTGATAAGAGAGCAATCATTGTTGTTAGATTTATTGAAAGTTTCAATAAAATTTGTCGAGTATTACTCTACTGACACTACTAGTAAGTCTATAAAATTATTGTTCAATGTCTTTAATATATCTATACAATGGCTATAAATCAGAATCCTATATTTTTTTCTTTATATATCCGATTTTTTCACTATGTTTTTCTGAATCAAATTTGAAATATTCACAATTTTATCACTTACCTTATTTTGTTGACAGTATGTATTTTTGACCTAATATTTTTCTTCAACTTGAAATAAAAGTAATTTATTATCGATATTTTAGTATGCTGATGTTATATTATTCACTCGCTAACTAAAGTAATATGAAAAGATATTGAGATTTATAACTTCGACGATAAAGGCGACTACCGTAAAGGCCTTGGAAACTCTTGGCATCAAATTTTTCCTATTAAAGCAACACTATTTTTCAGATGTAGTCGCACGATTGGAACCAAATCACGTGTACTCAAACATTCATCTTGGCCATCCATCCAGCGCACCATCCCGTTGCTTCCCGCCGCTGATGCCACGTCAGCTATTCCCGCCAAACACCAATTTCCCGCCAATTGTTCATATATAGAGAGGGAAATGCGCCATTGTTGCAGTGCATCGCCCCTTGACACACCTACTTCCCGGACGACTTCTTTCTCTCTCATGGACCTCACCACCCGCCATGAATCCTCAGTTACAGAGAAACTAGAAACTCTGGCTCCGACCTCATTCGATAAATCAGGAGCTTTCGGCCAAAACCCGTCTCAAAAACCAGGGTCTATCTCTCTGTCTGAAGAAAAATCAGGAGCTTTAAGCTCAACCCAATGTCAGGAAAAAGGTCATTTCTCTACATTTGCAGAGAAGCCAGCTGCTCTTAGCCCAACCCCATTTGAGACATCAGGTCAAATCTCTGCAGTTGCGGATATACCAGAGAAATCAGGGCTTGGTCTCTCTGCATTTCCAACACCCGAGAAACCCATCGAGCCTCAGCGGAGATATGGAACAAAAAATGTCTCGATTTCTTCAAAGGAAGCTGAGAAGATTGGTGCTAAGACCTGTAAATTGACTAGAGATCACGAGAATGTACCCTGTTTTGAAGGATCTCTTATTGATCAGGCTGGAAAATCCAAATCCGCATTGAGATCTAACAAGAATAAAGGGACGAAACTCCCAGAGAAGTACGTAGAGTTTGGCTTATTTGGCCCAACAATTTGCCATTGTTTTTGCAGAAATTCAGTATCTTTTGGCTGAATTTTTTGTCTTTAATATGGGAAATCCCTTTATTTTACCATAACAATCCTATTAGATATACTAATTTATGCATATATATTTTCTGTTTGTCTTGATATCATATTTGAGCACTGGTAAAGGGAGTTTCTTTTGGAGAAACTTTGAAAAATGGCTGACTTTTCGACCATTTGCATCAGACTATTTTTCTTTCATTAATACAATAAGTGGGTATATTTACCATGAGTGTCCAATAAAAGAACAGAACTGGAATAACCATGAAAGCAATGTGATATTTACTACAGTATTGGAATTTTTCTTTAGAATGAATTAGATACAATTATCTTGAGTGTTTTCTTGATGCATTGGAATTATGGGATTTTTTTGGGAAAAAACCAGCTGAACTTAATTGGGTTCTGCTTTTTTATTCTTTTTGATGAATTTATTTATTTCTATGTTCTGAAACAGATACGAGATGCTGGCTGAATTTATGGTGAGCATGGAGTGCTCCATAAGATTGCTGCGCCTTAAGAATACCATCACTTCTTTCACCAACATTCGTTCTCAGGTCGAAACCCTCACCAAAAGGTAATACGTTTATATGCTTAATGCCCTTGGAAATACTCTCCAGGTTGTCTTCTTTTATCTAAAAGTCGTTTATTTATTTGCTAAAATTATAGCTTATAAGCAACAAATTAGGCCTAATTTGGTTTCAAAACCCAAATTTTTGGCATGGTCCCCTGATGAATAGAAAATCTGAATCTCACACCTTAATCCTTAAGTTTGTGTTATTGTTTAATTGTAGTTTTCTTTTCTGAGTGATCTTTATGTCAATGTGCATTTCTCTAAAGCCCACGTGATATATTAGTTCCTTATTTGAGCCTTGTTCAGTTTCTCTCTCTCTCTCTCTCTCACTCTCTCTCTCTCATCCCCATATCTTATTTTCTTATTTCAGCTGAATACATTTTCTTACACACTCCCTCCCTTGAATTATTCAGGAGGTTTACATATGCTCACCTAGCTCAGATAAAGTATGTAATGGGTGCTGGAATAGAGCTTAAGAAGATACTCTCCCATGATGAGAGGACTCTCTGCATGAAGCCTGATCTTCTTATTACTCTTCAGCCCAATGCCCTGAAAACTTCCAGCGAAACTCAGAAATTAGGGATTGAATCTTTGATTTTCAGGAAAGTATTCCGTGCCAGGCTCTCAGAGTTCTTCAAATCCCACCCTAAGGTAATCTAATCTTTCATGACATCTTGGTTGTTATATAACGAGAAAGAATGTTTGCTCCGGTAAGATTATTTTTTCTGATGATGCTACCTATAGCTTTCACTTCGAATGCTTCCTTGGTTTTTTGTTGTTCTAAATATACTTGAGAGTATCAGATGCTTATATATGCTACCATCACAAGTATTTGCAAATCTCTTACTGTAACAACTCACACTTGCATGACCCACTGTCACAATTATGTATTAGACCAGAATTCTTCTTTAATTTAACAATAGTAATTAGGCCATATATAATAATTGGGCTTTTATAGTTTAATTATTAACAAGGCCAATGGGGCTAAATTGTTCACATAAACCCAACTCATTGAACTCAGAGATTTTGCTTTGGTACCATTGATTCACTGATTTCTCATTCCCTGAAATCACCAACTTCTGTGGTGCCACTACATTGGGAACTATAGGACAGTATTTCATCATCCATCTCATTTGATCCGGGGGGCTTATGAGGCACTGTCTGCATGACGGGAGTCTCCTAGCGCATTTTGCGCTGAACATTAATGTCGTTAGATTGGAATCCTTTGATTTTCCTGCAAGAATTACAACTATCTACCTCCCACTTAACTGCAGTATTCTTCCTGAAACACAGTTTTCTGTTCGTGACCAACATTGTAGGCTAGTTTACTATGATGTCATGTAACTTAGAATGCAAGCAAATCTTTTGAATTGATTACTAAAACTTATTTTTTGTTCTAAATGATGGCTGAGAACTATGAACGAGAGTTTTCTTCCAGAAAATTTGGATAATAAATTTTTCACTATGACAGCGAAAAGAAAAGCTTTTAAGTATTAAATGCTTTATGAGTACAGGTGGGGAAATAATAGCACCCAAAAGTCACAGGGAATACACTTTTCTAGTCATTCTCCTTGTATGTGTGATCATTCAATGTTCGTGATCATAGCCATAATGAACTTATAAGGATGAATATTGCACAATATTTATCATAATCTACAAACAGGTGCTTGTTATTTCTTGGGTTCCCAATTTACCACTCACTACAGAGTGAATTAATAGTTCTGTTGTTGCTTATTCTCTTAAAAAGCATCTATTTCCTTCTTTTCTTTTAGTAACTTATGTTAGAAAGCTTTTTTGTTAATATCAGGGAGATGAAATTCCTGAGGAAACTCTTCCAGAGCCATTTAACCAAACGAAGACCTCAATACTTCCTCATATCACCTCATCATTATCTCCAGCTCTTTCCCAGCCCTCTGGCCCCCTTCCAATGGCAATCTCTTCCCATTTTTCTGCTTCTTTCAGGCCACACTTCTCTCAGAGAGTGAAGAAAACTCATCTTGATCTTGGGCCATTAGAGCCTCTTACTGAGAATTGCTCGATTCAAAAGCCTTTTGAGAAGGAAAAAGCATCCAGTTCTGATTCATCAGTGCCCCTTGACCCTCTTTCGACATGCCAAACCAGTGAGAAGGAATCATTAGGACCTGATTCTCCAAAATTTGAAATGCTGCTTTCTCGTAATCCAAATCTGCACTCTCTTGGTACTCCTCACAAACTGAAATCACCACCAAAAGTGCAGCCACTGCCTTCTAAAATGCTTGAAAAATCTGAGCAGAAGAGAGTGGAAAATGTAGAAAATACTCCAGTTAAACTTGTGTCCACTCCAATTAGATTAATGACAAGAACACCAGAGTTAGAGACCCCAAAACGATTGAGGCCAGGTTCGGATGACAATGTGATCACAACAGACATTGATTCAACGAAACGGTCGATTAGGACTAGGTCTTTGAACTTCAATTCTCCAATTAAAAATTCAACTCTGGCAAAAGAGGAGAGAAGATCAGGAGTCGATGAAGAAATCATCAAATCTCTTCCCGCTTCTTTTTGGGATTCGGTACGTCTTTCAAAATATGTAGTTGAATGGGTTCTAATTCTTTTAGAACTCAACTCCTGCACACTTTCCCATTTCCTTTATGCTACGTAATATATATCTAATGAGTTCTGATGAGGAAACATATGGGGGGGTTTATTTACAGATCAGAGAGAAGGAGAAGAAAGCGATGGAAGCCAAAGCTGCTGTAGATAAGAGCCAAGGCATGGTGGCTTCCCTGCCTAAACTCTATGATATGATCCGACTCATATTTCAAGGCATGAATCGATCAGTTCTCACCAAACAGGAGCTTGTTCATAGACTAACTGTGAATCATCCTGAAATTATTGACAGAAGTAAATCCCTTCTCTATAATCTACATATCTGAATGCTAAGTAGTGCTTGATTTAGGAATTGAGAGTGTATAGAAAGTGTTCATCTTACCATTAAATATAATGTTGAACAATGTTGGAGAGTGTGTGAGATCGCAGAAGAGGACATAACCCTGATGCTGCATCCTGTTCTCTCTTCATCATCATTTCATTCAACAATTATGATTGTTGGAACCATGTTTTTCAGAAGTTGTTGGATTTTAATCTTCATCATCATTTCATTCAACAATGATGATTGTTGGAACCATGTTTTTCCGAAGTTGTTGGATTTAATATACTTTGCTTAACAAAGTTCTTGTGTAAATTCCTGTAGTCTTTGGTCCATGTTATAATAATCTGTGTTTGTCTTTACATGTTCTGTTCATGTGTACTGATTTTATAGTAGTTTATAGGGGAAATTGAAGAACAGCTAAAGTTGTTACAAGAATTGGTTCCAGACTGGATCACAGGAAAGATGGCATCCAGTGGGGATTTTCTTTATAGGTTTGTATTTCATAAAAGTCTTTTTGGGGGGAATTCGTCGTGTTTACAATCACAGTCTTTTAGTTTTCCTTCTTCTATTTTATATCTTATGAGCTCCATGGAAACTTTTTGAGAAAGCCTTGCAAAGGCTCAATTGCCCATTTTAACTACTCAGAACATCCAGTTTTCCATTTTTGAGACTTTATTCTGCCCACTAGTCTTGGCAACATTAATATCAAACCCTCAATTCCATCTGTCTTCTTATCAGCAATGTCTAACACTCAAAATCTCATCTTCTAGCCTCTCTCCGTCCCTTTCTCTACCCCTTGTTTTCTCCTGAAAGTGGTTGCCTTGGCACAAAGAATAATTAGATTTACATCTCCTCTAATGTCTGACATAAACAAAGAAATAACTCAAAGCTTCAAGTTGTTATCTTCCATTAAGTAGCTCTGTTTAGCTATCTGCATTGTCATCTAATTAGGTCTGTTAGCTATCTGTTTGATATTTGACTGTGTTTCTTTTGGGTATATGCAGTGTGCGTGCGATAACTGATCCAGCATCAGTTCATGCTAGACTTAAGGAAGCACTATGAGACATTATGCCTCAAAACATTGGAATGTGTTACTCAATTGCCAAATGAAATCAGTTGGTTTCTGCTCTGGTTTCTGCTCGGTACATCTCAAATCTAGCGAGCATCGGGAATCAAAAGATTGAGCTTCAGTTGTCGGGGGAGTCCAAGGTGCGATGCCCCATCTCATCATCAATTGTTAGAGCAAAGAGTAAAGATTCTGAGAAAAGAATCCACCAAGTCCTAACCCCCTTGTCAAATGCTATTTGTGCTTGTTGCGAGCGAATCAATATAATTGGAATTCTGGGGCCTGTATTTGTATATTCAATTGTCATGTATATTATGTCGAACCATAATGTGTTGTATATTGAATTCAAAGAGGTGACAGAGCATAATGCATTGAATGGCCTGATATTTAAAGATATATGAAGTAATGAATGGTTGGACCTTCAAAAATAAGGAAGCAGGTTTCCAATATAAAATCCAAAATAGATATAACAACTATTCCTATTTTGCTCTATAAATTGTAAGTATATAATTACAAATTTAAACTCATTTGGATTTATTGATAGATTTTAGAATTTGAATTTTTAAAATTATACTTGTAAACAAAATTGTCATTTATATTTTTAAATAAATTTTACCTATGGTATATATTTGTAGCTTTTTAAAAAATTTTGGGAGATAATGTAAATGCAAAATTCACTAAATTGGATATAATGTTTCAATCTACAAAACAATTTATTTTTTATTAGATAGTTCTTTTTATGTTGTGAGGTATTTTGTTAAGGTAAAATTTCATGTACGATTGCAATCTTAGGCTGTAGGATTATGATGCACCTCAAAAATTCATTGGGAAAAAGCTGTTTTGATATGGGAAAATCCTCCCTCTAGTTGATCATCTTGAGATCGAGATGTATGAAAATGGAAAAAAAAAAGAAAAAAGATTTCAAATCCAAGAAATAGTACATGCAATACATTATTTAGACAGTCCATTTTCAAGATTTCCATATGGTCATAGATCTACTTGATTTGAACCATTTTGGAGTTTAAAATTCTATAATTAGAGATGAAAATGGATTCAAAAGCCATCCTAAAATTTTTGACACCAAAGTTAATCTTACGTTACAATTTGGAGGGTTATGGATGCAACCTTATGCAAACACACCCTTTTATTAAAGAGCTGAATGACTCGATTGTCTTTTTTTAAAAGATATTGGTCATTTTGTGAGACTTCTAATATAATTCTTGTTACTTTTGGCCCTTCTCATGGCAATTGAATAGTATAGTAGTTTTGATTTTGGAAATTTGTATAATATGCTCCTATGTGAGTATCCTATATAGTAACTCTATCAGAATCCAAAAGTATTTTTGGAATCTAATCTAATATTCTGGGATCCACTTTTCATCACAAATGAACGCTTTTAATATAAAAAGTTATTTTTATTTTCTTCTTCTAAATATAATTTTCAATTGAAATAACATATACCCAAGAGAACACAAATAACTTGACGTTTGTAAATATACTTAATTATATGTAATCCAATATGTTTATGTGATACTTTGTCACATTACCGTATGGGATTATACAGCTTCATAATTTCACGAATCTCTCTCTCTCCTGTGCGTCGGAGTGTGTATGAGAGCAAGAGAACAAAATTGACTTGTATTACATTAAATTTATACAATCTGTACAACAAACTATATAGGTGAGGTAAAAAGAGACTCACTCCTCCATTAAGGATCATCACCCAAGAAGCAACCCCACAAACTGAACCTTGGATTTGGTTAATATCCCCCCAAAGCCTATTATATAACCCCCAAACACTGCACGGGGTGTCAAAATGCATCTCAATGTTGGGCCCAACTTCCATTGATAAGAAAATGCTCCATCAATTAATAGAATCTGGTGTTTGAAGATTGTTTAACCAGCAGCAAGTAGCCAAAACATGATGAGAGATGATATATCAATCAACACCCAACTCATAAACGCCATGGCAATCGCGAACTGGTACCTTTGGCATACTGACTCCTTACAGTTCCCCAAGTCTCGGTCATACAAAACCAGTATCCCTGCAGATGAGCAAGCTGCAGCAAGTGATAAGGTCGCCGTAACCTGAAACACAGCTCCAAGTGGTCATTTCCTTGATCTGAAAACAAAATGATACATGTTTGTGCATGAGAGAGAGAGGGAAAGCTACCCAATGAGTATATTTGTGTGTGTACGCACGTGTGTGTGTGTGTGAGAGAGAGAGAGAGAGAGAGAGAGAGAGAGAGAGAGCTGACCCAATCCCCAACCACAAACAGGCTAACCAAACGAGGATTGCGCAGGTCACGCGGCGCGAGCATTGCATAAGCATCAAGGCATGCAAGCCACAAACTCCAGAGGACTTGCAAACCCATGGAAGCTATCAAATAGCTGTAATAAGCAGGCGGCTCACATTAAGTGAGATGATTATCAAAACAAATGAAAATGAACTTTTTGCGAATTAAGATAGCTCTAAAAGCATAATTCTTAGACATTGAAAAAGAAGCACCAATTTTAAATTGAGTTGTACGCTACATCATTTAATTGGCAATATAGAGAGAATGACCCATCAATCAACAAGTTGAACAATGTCAGTATAATATTAGAAAAGATGCTCAAAAGTATTGAGCCAGTTATTTCAGGTACCAAAAAATGAAAAATGACAGGCTGATATTTTTATCAATTGATCTTTTCAATAATAACTCTACAATCAACTAGCTAGCTAAGAGCCAGGAGGTAATTAGATACCAACGCCAAATATTGATCAAATCCCATTAGGGAACAAATCATATTCATGAGAGAGAGAGAGAGAGAGAGAGAGAGAGAGAGAGAGAGAGAGAGTAGTAGATAAGTAAGGTAGGTAGTAAGAAAGAAAGTAACTACTCTACGTAGTAAGTTTAACGTTTAGTAGTACTACTAACTAACTTAAC